GCCCCAGCACTCTTCCCTGCCTATGCAGGGGGTCGGACTCAATGATCTATTGAGGTCCCTTCCGACCCTAACATCTATGAATCTAGAGTCCTCCAGCATCCCATATGCTTTGCAGCCCTGGGCTGGGCCTGGGCTGTCTGCTCCAGAGCAGAGCTGGCCCAACCCTTCTGCTCCCTAGCTGGAGTGCCAGCAGGCACAGCAGTGTCTACCTGGCTTCCCCTGGCCCCATTTCTCCCCCTGCACCACTCCCTGCTCAATCAGGTATTTCCCCCACTCCCCTCTCCCACAGCATGGACTTTAGCTAGCATTTTCTTACAGGTGGTCACGGGGTGGACCTCGGCTTTGGATCACTTGGTCTGCCATGAAGCTGGTCTTGTTTCTTGCCTGCCATGACTTTGATGATATTATATTGCTAGGAGGCAATGCCCAAGGTGATCCTACCAGGTCTCAATCCCTGTTTTCTGTGGGTCTCCGAACCTCCCCTTTACCCAACCCTGGCCTCTCCAGCTGGCACTCGTAGTTCTCTGCCACCAGATCTCAATGCTACCTGTTGGTCTGCTGTTCTGCCCTTGCCACCAGGGTGACCATCTGCTAGTTAGGCACACACCCTTCCAGGGGCTGGCCTTGGCCTGCACTCAGATATCCAGAAAAAAGAAAGCAAAACCCAACTGCTCTCAGTCTCTTTGTCAGACTCAGTTCATGTCCCCTTCACGTGGGGTCAGGCTCTCATGTTCAAATCACAACAACAACAACAACAACAACAAAAAAACAAAACAAAACAAACAAAAAAATCAGTTAATCCAGTCACTACTCTGCACAGGCCTGCCCTGGCTTACGCAATAGCATTCACAGTCCCAATGGGATTTCTGCCATGTGCAGCGAGGCTCTAACCTGAAAACAGCAATTCTTCTGGCCTCTCCCCCGGATCCTCAGCTGTCACTCTGCTCCAGAGAACTCCTCTCCAGAGATTATCAGAAGCCTGGTGTCACAGGCGGGGTCCTACAGGAGGGCCGTGATCTCCTTAAGGCCCCTTCTTCCTCCGTGCCAAGTTGGCCCAAGGGCACCCTCCGATTCTCACCCGCCACTTCTTTATGTTTAGATAAGGTTGGGAGGCTGCCTTATGCCCTCTTGGTCACTTCTCTGTGTTGATTCAGACCCCGTAGTTTCCCGGACTCTTCGTGGGTCTCGCACTATGATGGGTGCTTCAGGCGCACCCTAGCCTTAAGGGCTATGCGTGGCTCCAACCACCCCTTATACCACGCCCCAAGCCTCGCAGCTGGAATAGACATTGGTCTGTCAAATATACACTCGCCCACTCTGGGGCCTCTCCGTAGTGCTGCCCTCTCTCAGGGATCCTCTGCAGCGCCGCCCTCTCTCTGGGGCCTTCGCAATAACGCCGCCTTTCTCTCCAGGGCCTTCTCCACAATGCTACCCCTTTTGATAATACTGCCCCCTTCTCTGGGGCTCCTCAGTACTGCTGCCCTCTCCTTGGGCCTTCTTAAGTGCTGCACCCTTCTCTGGGGCCTTCTCGGTAAAGCCCCCCATCTCTCGGGGCTCATTGCACTGCTATCCCCCTTCTCCGGGGTTTACCGCAATGCTATCCCCCTTCTCCGGGGTTTACCGCAATGCTATCCCCCTTCCTCAGGAACTCACCACGCCCGCACTGGGGCTTCTCAATAGTGCCCCCTCTCTGGGGCTTGCCACGCCTGCACTGGGGCTTCTCAGTAGTGCCCCCTCTCTGGGGCTAGGGTCTATGCACCCCATACGCCACGCCCTTACTGGCGCTGGGGTCCCCACGCTACTGTGGGTCCCCTATGAGGCCTCCTCCAACCCCTAATAGCATCACCCAAACCACCGGTGTAACAACAACAAAGCAAAACACAAGCCCCTAGGCTGTAATATAACTTAAAGCCGCCTGGCTACAACCATGCTGCTCAGACATCGTAGAACTGCCATCCTTTACTCAGCTTAAGCTGTACCTGCAGTCAGGCTTCTTCTCTCATCCTTGCTCCAGAAGCTCCTTTCTCTCTGACTGCTGGCAGGGAACCACTTCTGGCCTCAGCTCCTGGGCTTTATAAGAGCCAGGCCCTGCCCCTTACAGCTAGCTGACCGCTGACAGGTGTGGGTCGTTTGCCGACTCCAGTTGCCCTGGCAACTAACAGCTGGGCTCCTTATTCACTGCTAGTGCTCTTTCTCTAGCAGTTTCTCTTCTTTAGGAGCAGGGCACCTCAGTGCTCTGCCACACCTTGTGTGGGCAGACCTCCGCCTGCCTCCTTCTCTGGGTCACACCCACAGCATTTCTCTGGCAGTGTTCACTTGCCTGCCAGGACACTCAGCCGCTCTTCTCTCTGCGGCTTGTAGGGAATCAACCCCTTCTGCCCCTTTCCGGGGCAGGAAATACCTCTGAGCAGCCTCCCTCCTCCAATTTGGAGCAAGATGCTGCTCTGGAAGTGTGGTGATTGCTTCTTTTCCCTTCCAGTCTTCAGCAGTGCCCCCTCCAGCCATCTACGCTGTAAGCTTGCTTGCTTTCACTTTCCCTGTTTGTTGCTGCCAGCTGCTTTTCTTCTCCTGACCTCCCCTGCCCCACACGTAAGGTAAGGCACCTTGGGGCTTTTTTTTACTCTCTCTCTCCTTCACACTCAGGCTTTTTGAATGTTTGTCCCTAGCCTGGGAGTCACAATGAATGTAATGTCAATATATATGTGGACAATAACTGGAAGAAAAAAAGGTAACATTCCAGTAACTGATGTTCTTTGAAATTTGTTTTCTGTATGTGTCCCCATATTTGCTGTATACTGTATCAGATTTCATAAGCAAATGGATTCTTGTTGATGCAGAAATTCACGTGATTGGTCTTGCTCAGCATTCACATGTTGTGGGGTGGAGAAGTAGGTAAACACAGATGGAATGCAAGCATGAGCCAGTGGGCATTACTAGTTAGAATATTCTGGCCTCAAGTACTGGGTGTTCAGGTGCACCAAGGCACATTTCTGGGAACCCTAGTTACTGGAAGGTAAGTAACCATTTTTATTTGTATTGTGCTAAACCTCGAATATTACTGATATCTATTTCAGTGGGAGTTTACAGGTGCTTTCTGCAGTAATAAAGTTTTAATTTTTAAATTTATTCTTTTAAAAAACCACAGCTTTTGTTATTACTTACTTATGGCAATTTCCTATTGACTTCAGCAGGTCATAATTTTAAGTTATTATTGGCTTCAGTAGGGCATAAACTACCTGATAAGTGTTATTTATATATACATTTCATTTATGAGATTAGAAGCTTCAATTGTTTATAGTAAACACTGTTAAATGAAACTGTTTAAAATGAAGTTATGCTACTGATTGATGTATTTATAATTCTAAGTTACAATGTTTTAATAGAAAAATTCAGATATCTTGACAAGCCCAGAGGGAAAAGCAGTGGTTCGATCATTCAATAAAATTTCTTATGTATTAGTGGAATTTGAGGTACTATATCACAGTGCTTGGGTGAAGGAAATTTCACAGCTACAATATGGTGAGTAGTTAAATATGCAAGTATTATAAGAAATGTGTGCTTCTTTTCCACATTATCCTTCTTCTGGCTGCAGTGATGTTTTATTTAAATTATTTCTTCTTATCTGTTGGTGACAAATTCTAAATTTACATAAATCAACTCAAATAGACTAAACTCTTTTAAATACCTTTACAATCCTAGTATGTGGGAAATCATGAAGATTTGCACCCAAGTGACTGACAGAACAAGGTATGGATGCAGGTGTCACCTTCTGTATCAGGGGTGGGTAAAGTCCAGCCTGACGGCTGGTCAGCCCGTGGCAAACTCCATTTCTTAGGAGCCCCTGCCCGTGTTGCTTTGGCTGGGATCTATGGAGACCCCGGTAGCAGCAATGCAGTGACAGAACAGGGCTGGCAGGGTGCGTGGCTAGGCAGGGAGCTGCTCCAGGGCTGGAATCTTGCAGCTGTGACAGCATGGTCTGGAGGTGGATCAGAGCTGTGATCTGCTGCCTGCACACCCCAGGCAGGGGCGTGCAGGCAGCAGATCACGACTGTGCCCTGGCTCTAGACCATGCTGTCACCACTGTAAGATCTTGGCCCTGGAACAGATCCCTACCCAGCTGTGTGCCCTGCCAGCACTGCTGGGGCCAGTGTCCATGAAAACCCTGACCCCCCACTCACACCGCTGCCACTGTTAGGGTCTCCATGGAAACTGGCCACAGCAACACAGGCAGGAGCTGCTGGGAGATGGAGTCTGACCACTGGCTGGTCCTGCCATTTTGCCCTCTTCATCTGTACGGAGAGATATTCAAGATGTGGCACAACAGGAGGCAACAGATAACTGGAAAAGATGCTAGAAAGGGAGGATAAAGACATAATGTTGAATTTATGCCACTATCCAAATTCTTTATTCAAATTAAGAACACATTTTATTTACACACTTATCTGCTCCTAAAATATTGCCTTCACATTTGCTAGCCAGACAAAATTGTTTCCACTGATGTTTGGTAAATCTAGGGAGGATTATAGGAAGTTGCAATTAATGTAATTGCAGATGGAAATTAGTGAAGTCAAAATCAGGTTGATGCACATGAACTGAAATAATTTAAAATATATTTGCTTATAAGTAGGTATTCAGTTAGTAGCCATTTACGACATGCTGATGTATGTAATTTACAGAAAGAAGCACTGTTAACACCTTCACTTAAATAGCTTGAAACAAGGATGCCCAACAAATCTGTCCCATGGGGGTGAGCCCAGTTCAGCAAGTGGGGCTGCATTATCTGGCTTGTGGGGCTCTGTCTGGGTCCAAAAACTTTGTGACAGGATGAGTGGTGGCTCTGCAGCCACCTCTCCCCCACTGCAAAATCTCTGGACCCTTGATGAGCTCTATAGATTGGATGACATAGCTCCGTGGCCAGATCTGGCCCATGGACCAGATCTTGGTTACCCTGGTCTAAAACATTAATCTTTGGTTTTAGAGGTGCTCAAGACATATTGAGATGCCCTTTTTGTGCAGGGTGCTTTAGAGACAGAACATTGGAGGAACCATTTGGCTTCAATTGTACAGGTAGATCTAAGAAGACAGAACTACAAAAACCTTATCGGAGTCAACAGGGCTCTACATTGAAATAAGGCTGACAGGCATAGATTTGAAAGAAGTATGACCTTTAGCATTTTTTTCTTGTTTTCCTTTTTGGCATTTGTTTTTGTTTTTCCTAAATTCACCTATTTCTATCTTATCATTTCATAGAAATCAATCTTACAAGATAATGAGCAGATGATGAAGGTTATGTATGCCCACAGATTCCTTTGTGAGCACATTATTCACTGACCTAAGTTGAGAAAGTATTGCCTGACTTACCTTGATACTGGCTTGAATCTGAGGCCAGTTTGGTTTGTGAGTGGAAAAATACATTAAGTCAGTTACTTGGTTTCATTAGCTGAAACAGCTTGCATATTTGCTTCATGTTCAACACATGTACGTTACTAGAAATCTCATAAAGAATTATTGTACAATAGAAACAGTTGTTTGTTCTGGAAATTTATTTTAAAATATGTTTACAGCATTACAAGCTTCACTACTTGTGCGTCACCCTGAAACTGCAAAGTTTCTGGTTAACTTTGATCCCAAAATGCTAGAAATTGTTCGAGAGACTAAATGTATGATAAAGATGGGTCTTGAAGTACCGGAGCAAGCAAAGAGAATGGTAAAAATGGAAAATAACCTGAAGGCAAACAAACTTATTTTGGAGGTAAGACTGAAAAAAATCACCATTAATTTTTAAGATAAATAATGGTATCTAGAATGCAGTGATCTGCTCAGTATACTTATGTTTATATTCAACATTTCTAGATTTTTAAGATAAAAAGAGAAACCTTTTAAGGATTATATTAACCAGTGTCTGGAAAAAGGTTAATACATAACATTTGGAAACCATGGATGTTTTTTGCCTAAAGGAAAATTTGGCATTTGGAAAAGTTTCGTCAGTTTATACTGTTGATAAGGATGAGGATCAAGGTATTGGAGAAAGGGAAAATTTGTTTGACTGGATGTCCAGGTTGGAAGGGAAATTATGTATATTTACTTCATTGTTGCAGAGCCTCCTGTAATGACTCATTCTTCTTGCAGCCAGTCATTGGCTACTGCACTGACAAGAAGCCAAACTCACAGTGTTAAAAACAAGTAGACCAGACAGTGGTGAGCTGTCTGCACAAGTCTCCTCCTGAGCTTGTAGATTGCTCTTGTCACATCACTTTGTCTTGAAACCTGGTCCCTGCTCTTGTTCCTGCATTTCTGGTGTCCATGTCTGGCCTCTGATCTTTAGCTTGTCCTGACCGCAAGGAGCCATTCCTGACTCTGATTCTTACACCCATCTCACCTGATGCTGATCTGATCTGTGACTTGCTGATCCTGGTATGATCTGTAGTGCTAGACTCTTACTTTGTAGCACTAGCTTGGTTCTTGTGTTTAACTTCTTGACTTGGTTTGTTTCTGGTCATTTCTTTGGCATCTGGCCCTTGGTCTCACCACTGGTACCAGAGCCCGATTGTGCCACTGTCCTGACTCCTAGGTTCCTGATGTCAAGTCTAACCATGAGATCTGACAGCTAGTGTCCCCCGTGTGACATTTATTCACTCCTCTCTTCTACATTGATTGCCCTGATCTCGTATATCTTATCTTTGACCTTGTGCCAAATTTCAGTGCTAAGCTGTGACAGTATCACTTAGTATTCTGGCTGGGGTGGGCAGCGTAGGACCCACTCTGTAGTCTGGTATCCATGATACACGCCCCTGACTAGATTGTGCTACATACAGCCCCCATTCCAGCCTCTCTGGGATCCACGCTGCACAGAGCACAAGCCTAGACTAGCTGGAGCAGACACTGGATCCAGTATGCTGGAGGGGAGAGGTCAGTGCACCCAATCCGGACTATGGGCTAGACATACACCACTCATCTGGGCTCCAGGGTAAGACACCTTTGGTATAGAAACATGTGCAGGGATTTTGTCAATGGTTGGGAAAAGAAGAAAAAAATATAGTATAGTATGGAAGAGACCTAGTTCTATTGAATGTGGGAATTACCAGTAAAAGGTCCAGTACCCTGTTGCCAGTATATTCAGAGAAGGTACAAAGAACCTTGCCAATAAAAAAAACCCGAACTCCTCCTTAACTTTTGGTTAGACATTTCCTTATGCCTTGAAACAAGTTAGTATATAACTAGGGACCTACCCAAATCATGATTTTGGGCAGGCCCAGCAAAAAAAGTGGGCTCTCTGAAAAAATGCAGGCTCTACACTTTTGGCAGGCTCCCTGAAAAAAAACAACTCGCCAAAAATAAAATGCTGGCTGCCTCTTGGAAGCCAGAAGTCCTTGTGATCATTGCAGCCCAGTCATGCAGCCCACTGGGGGGAAAGGAAGGGAGGGGCTTCTGGTACAGAAAGATGGCTGCCACCTCTGCCCCTCATTGCTGATTCACCAATTGGTGGCAAGGGGTGGGGCCACATGACAGACAGCCCTCATAGCCAGTCAGTGAGGGGTGGGGCCATCAGGGCCCCTCAGCCAATTAGAGGTGCGGGAGGTCAATAGCTGCCAACCCTGCAGTCTTCCTATGAAATCAGCTGGCAGCTGCCTTGACTTTGGTAAACTCCTATATATAGTGCTTCCAAAAATGTTTTTCTTGTTTTGATTTTGTTTTTTACTGCTTTAATTCTGTATTTTCTCATTACCTCTAATTATCTAACCCTTTTTTAATCTTGCTAATTTTTTTGCATCTGTGGTAGTTTGTGATACTTAGTATCTTTTGGTAATTGGGTATTATATGAGAGCTTTTTCATTTACTGTTCACTTCAAATTGTCTGCCTGTTAGTTTAATCAAATATCGTCTTGTTTCTGTAATTTTTAGAAAAGCCAAATTGGGGAAAATGCCTTACAGTAGGAGAATAAATAGCTTGATCTGTTTAATTTATTAAAAACAATTTGAAAGTAACTTGATTATAATGTATAAAAGCCTTCACAGGGAGAAAATACCAGGTCCTGAAGGACTCTTAAATCTTGCAGAAATAGGAATAACAAAAACCATGTTTGGCAACTGAAGTCAGAAAGATTTAAATTGGAAATTATACACACATTTTTAACAATGAAAGTGGAAACAAACTGCTGTGGGAAGTGGGGTCATCTTCATTTTTCAGAACCATCAGAATTAGTATTTTGTCTGGCCTACATGCATTAGAAACTAGATATGTGTGGCTCTTCTTTTCTTACACACTCGTATAGGTCAAGATACAATCTTTCTGCTTTTCAATGATGGTAGGAAATAAATCCATCTTCTATCGATCGGTGTCAAATTTTTCATTTAGAAATATTTTGACTGAATATATTTTATATATCTACTATATAGGGTTGGCAAGCTTGTCAGTTGACCAGTCAAGTATTGTCAGTTGACTGGCCAATTGGGTGCATATTTTTTGACTGGTCAAAAATTATAACAATTTTATTTTAAAAAACTGTATTTTTTGTACTTTTTTCACAAAAATGATTTATATTTGTTTTTTTACACATTTCATGGAAAACTTGTGCTTTTTCTAGGTATTATTTGGACCTATTGGCAAATTTTTTTTACAATTTTTGACCAGTATTTGACCGGTCAATTGACCAAACTTTATTTGACCAGTCAAATATCCAACCCTACTACTATAAATTATCTTTTATATCTACTGACTTGCTTTTATTAATATTTCAGTAAAAATCTTTAAAGCATTATTAGTAAAAGATTTGTTTTATAATATTAACAGAATCTTCTGCAATGCTATGAAGATCTGTGTCAGGAAACACCCATGGTGTTCGTGAATTTGATGGCCCCTAAAATGAGAAAGGTTGGTATTGCATAATATGTTTACATTTTTAGATAATAGAAGTTTGCATAGATGTAGAATTGTTTGCATGTACTTTTGAGTATTTAAGATACTAAATTACTAAGATACTAAATTAAAGAATTGGATATAGCAGAATCTTTCTAATTAATGCTAATATGTGGGAGACCCATTGTGAATTACTTGCTTTTGGGTTTTAATAAGTATACCAATAATATTATATGACTGATCCCCATTTACAATTTTAACCACATTAGCAACAGCAAAAGTACCTTTAAAAGGGTATTAATATATCATACTCTCTTTGAAGCCCTTTTACATTATCAGAGTAATGTAAAAATGATTTCTGTGTACATGATATTCAGACTTCTATTCACACTTATAGGACGTTAGCAGATGTCTTGCGTGCATACATCTCTGAATTTCATGTGCGAGTACAGAGACGTTTAATTCAATATGTATGTAGTATGTCAGTTGAAGATTTTCACAGAAAATTGTTTTCTTACTCTCTTTTGATATACTAGATATAATTGCTGTTTTATGGCTTTGTCTTGAGGAAATTATCAGATTTATAAATTGGTAGTAATCAGTTCACTAATATGTAGACCAATTTTAATATAGTAGGCAACTATGGTTCCAAGAAGGTGCAGCAAGTGGTTCACCCAAACTTCAGTATTTACTGAAGGTGTGTATATGTCCCTTTCAGTTATGGCTCCAGGCAGTACTACACTGAAATATGTCATGCCTCTTCTGTGTACATTATCTCCCAAACAAGAAATAATATAGTTGTCTTGGTATTTCACTGCTCATATATTAAGAAGCTCTCAAAAAGAGAGTAAGTGAAAGGGAACATAGCTTGGTAGTGCAGCAATGAAGGCACTTAGCTGGGAGAAGAGAGGCCTGGATTTTGGCCCTTGCTTCAAAGACTACTTACGCATTTTTCAATAAACAATGATTGGTTAAAACTCAGAGGCTAGGTACAGAAATTTGGGAAGATTATGGGTAGGTTAGATCAAGATAAAAATGGCCACCTGATCTAAGGTAAGTCAGAATGGGGGGGCCAGCAGGAGGGATTGGGGGGTTGGGGGCCAATCAGGAGGCCTGCCAGGGGATGGGGGGCAAGTGAGATCTGCAGGAGGAATCAGAGGATTGGGGGAGCAGGAGGCATCTATGGGGGGATTGGGGTGCAAATGGCATTGCGGGAGGGATTGGAGTAGGCGGACTCGAGGTGGGAGGCAGAGGGTAGGCAGCACCTGCAGGGGGCAATTGGAGAGCCAAGTGGAGTCCATGGGGATGAGTGGGGGGGGCAGGTGGCATCTGTGGAGGGTTGTTGGGGTCCATGAGGGTTTGATGGGATCAGGGGGCCTTGCAGGGTCATGCTTGGGGGATGGGGAGCACTCTCCCTCTGCTCCATGGGACCAGGGGCTATTTTTAGTTCCCCCCAACCTCCTCCCTACCAAACCTACCCCCCATTCCCTTCCCCCCCTTCTCCCACTGAAACTTAATTCTTCAGCTCCTGGCATCAGCAAATGCTGATAAAACCGGCACCAAGAGCAGCTTATGAGATGAGGGTTTGGTGGGCTTGGTGTTGGGTGAGCGGGGGGTCTGTGGTGGAGAAGTTGCCCATGTGGGGGTGGGGTGAGGGGCTGGGGTCTAAAAATAGCCCAGTGCCAGGGGGCAGGTATGAAAAGTGCAGGTCTGGGACTGAGGCCAGTGACTGGGCTTTCCCAGCCCTGGGGCTGTCCTGGGATCTGTACAGAAGTTCAGGACAGTTAGATCAGTCTAAAAATAGTCAACCTGATCTTGGAGGTAGGGTTAACTTGGATCAGGTCAGCTATTTTTTAACTGATCTAACCGTCCTGGAAATCTGTACAGTTCATACTTAGATCCACCTAACTAGGGATCTAAGTGTAAGGTCCACATGTGGGCGAACTAAGTTAGATTGGGTAGCCACTTTTAAAATGATCCAACATCCTCTAACCTCCCCAAATATCTTTATGCACCCAGAAATAATCCCGGCAGTTGGAACCTCCCAGGGGAGTAGCCTCCTCAGATATGCTTAGACTCTTATAGAGTCATCTTCCCTCTTGCTTACTCCTCTTCTGTTCCCAAGGATATTCACTCTTGGCTGAATATTTAGGCCATAGAAAGGGGGAATGCCATTCCAGACATAGGGATAAGTATGAAAAAAAGGCACAATTATGAGAGTAGAAGAAGCAGAGTAAAAAATTATGTCTGCAGGGAGTAAGTGCTATATTTAAACTAACCAGCTTGGGTATTGATAACAGCTTAAGCATGGCTGCAAGGACATCAGTGCAGACTTTATAAAACTCATCTGAAAATCTGGGTAGCCTCTTAGGTGACTCTTGGGCTGAGCTCTGTGCTGCCACAGTTATACTGCTATCAGTACCCAATTTAACTGCTTTAAATTAGCTCTACAGTTAGAACTATAGTTACGCATGTGACTGCCATGTAGACATATCCAAAAAGAACAACAACACTGAAAGAATAGGAAGAGTCTAGGTAGCAATATGGGGAAGAATAAAAAATTTAAAAAATGACAAAAACAACTTTTGAGAAGCTTTAAGTTTGTGCAGAAAGACATAGGGAATCAGTGAAGGAACTCGAGGTCAGTGACATAGAGTGCTAGGAAAGAAATATCATTTCAGTTGTTTCTACCACCTTGAATCAATTCAAAATGCTATTGAGAGTAGAGAGACCTATGCTGTAACCAAGATTTTGGCAATGAAAATGGTGAGAAAGGAAGCATTTTAGGAATAGCATTCAGGCAACAGCAGCAAGATTTGGTAAGAACCTGGATGTGATTAAAGAGGAAGAGGAGAATCAAAAATGACTTGGTGTGTTGGCTGACATGTAGGCAAGCTGTCAACAATGATAGAAAGGAAAAATAATTAATATGATTGACAGGAAATATCAGGAGTTCAAATTTTGTTTGTTTAGTTTAAGGAAGCAAACTCCATACAGTGATATTAAAGTTTCAGCAGTAGCAGTGCAATTGGGGCAGAAC